TGAGACTTGAGCATGTTTAAAGGCAATTGGGAAAGGACTAGTAGATATGGAGAGGTTGAAGTTTAGACACAATGATGACTGAGGTTTCAATTTGCTAGAGAACCCAGTAAGGTATGGCCTCAGAAAGGAGAAGAAACACCAATCTCTTTTGTCAGAGACAAAAGGGGTGATTATGTCAAGGGGTTTTGAGATAGGGAAGAAGGGAGAGCTCATGGCAAATGACCTCCATTTTCTCAGTAAAGTAAGAGGTGACACCCTCAGCTGAGAGAGTGGGGAATGAGAAGTTGAGGTATTGAATAATTTCTGTGCACAGTGAGATAGGGAATCAGTTAGGAAGGAATGAAAGGATTATCTACTCCAGCAGTACAATGGTAAATTATTTACAACCAGCTTGGGGGGTGGGAGGGGAAACAGAATGTATTTGTGAAACACTTTTACATTTAATATACATTATCAACATTTTCTTCATCAGTTTAAGTCTACAATGGGGTGAGGGGAATCCAGCAAACTTTGACCCAGGGGCCAAATCCAGACAACAGTCTGCTTTGGTGTTGATCAGTCATTTCAGTCACATCTGACTCTTCATGACCCCATTTTTGGTTTTCTTGGCAAAGATACTGGAGGGGTTTGCCATTTCCTTCTCCAGCTCATTTTACAGATGAGGAAACTGAGGCAAACAGGGTTAAATGACTTGCTTAGGGTCAAATTTCTAGTAAGTATCTGAAGTCGGATTTGAACTCATGAAAATGAGCCTTCCTGATTCAAAGTTCAGTGCTCTATCCACTTCAACACCTAGCTACCCTGATTTGTAACATTTTTAGAGGTATAAATGCTCACACTGAAAATTTAACGATTAAGCTCTATTTCAGGCTGGCTCAACGTATCTATGACCTGTTCCCTCCAACTGTGCAGATCACAACCTCTCTCTGCCTTTCCATCTTATATGATTTTTGTCTATCCTTCCATAGATAGTCTGAGGGCACTACATTGGTGATGGGGGCCTTTTTCTAGGTCTCTTAGCATTGCTTGAGTATCAGTTCAGCATGTAAACAGTCCATTTCTTACCCTTTGTTCTCATTACATGAATTTTCCTCTTTTTCTGCTTTTAACTTTACAAAGCATAGTAAACTAAAAATTCAGAATCACAATGTACAGAAGTACTGGAGAACTTTAGGCCAAGTTTTCTGAGTTGGGATATTGTCTAAGGAATTCTCATTAAGACATAATTAAGACATGGGCTTGGGAAGAGAAAGAAAAACAAAGATAAAAATTTTTATGCAAGAAGGGAAACATTTTTTCATTTGACATATTGTGGGCTCAGATTGAAGTATGTAATTCCTCTGAGCCATCTGTATTAGGAAAACTATAATTAAGTATGCCAATTATAATTTTCCTCTATATTTGCTTTATATTGACTGGAATTTATATGAGCTTGTAGTATGTAGTCTATAGAGCATTTGTCTTCCACTGCCTCATAATTTGATTGTACAATGAATGTAAGAAGACCAATTAAGATTTGTGTGAGCATATTCTGAAGCAAATTAGTTAAGAGATTTAGAAAGTTTTCTGAGATTTCTTTAAAAAGAAAGAGAGAAAAAACAAAATATGCTCAGTCTGCTATAAAACTAGAAGAAACTTGGCTATACCAAAAGATCCATGATTTCACTGGGTCTGGCCACTGCCTCCATCCACACAAGTCACAGGCTTTCTACACTTCAGTAGACAGTCTTTATAAATTATTACAGCCAAAAATTTCATCATCTGGTGGTTTACCCTCCAGTGGTAAGCCTCTCCCAATTTAGCTAGAGGGAGCCTCAGATGACAGTCCACTGTAAAGCCCATAATCAAAGTTTGCCTGCTTAGTAGAGCCTTCCAGAGCTTACACTCAGCTGGCACAGCCTACAGGGTTACCTCCACACCACAATGAGGAATTTCCTCCTTCATGGAGGAAAACTAGAAGACAAACTTCCAAATACTTCTTCAAAGTGTTTGTCACTGAAAGGCAAAGTTTTACTAAAGTGTCTTTAAGAATGCTCATCACAAGATTTTTCAAATATCCACCAGATCCAAATATTCTAGCTTCATGAGGTTTTTAAAGCATAAATTGACACTAAACTTCTATGATTCCTAAAGCTATGTAAAGCAGCAAAATATTGTCTATTTTCATTTGGTGCCAAATTGCCACATTGAATCCCTATAGGGCAAAAGGCAAAAAGGGTTGAAAAATATGGTCTGCAACAAGAAATAAAGGGGTCAAAGTCTTATAGATCATTCAAAAATCTCGTGCCAGTACTTTACTATTAATTTTCTAATTAAGAAAAGAATTGGAACATCTGAGAAAATGGCACACATTGAACACGAAAAATAAGACCAACTATTAATTTAACAGTTAGGAAGCAACAAATCCAGAATCAATTACCCTCCATTCTATTACGTCATCAACTAATTAGGGTAAAGGCAAAATTAAATAACAAATTAGAAGAAAGGATAAAGATGGGATAGAAAAATTTTGTATTATGATCGCAGAAGCTCCCACCTGACCTATTTAAATAAGCTGTTGACTGAGTAATGAAAACTCCACAAAAGTGAAGATAACTCTGTTACCATTTCTTAGAGAGGTTCAACCAATGCAAAAGCTGCCACTGTGAGAAGGCCAGAATTGCCTAGAAACAGGTTTAGCCAGAGCATATTTGATCTTCTAGCCAAGTAAAGAGACATGGCAGCCAATGGTGAAATGGGTTTGTATTAGAAGCTCATTTTCAAAATACTATGGAGGAGGATGACAGAAAACTAGAAGCCAACTTGCCTCACAAGTTAAGGAAAGGTAGTGAGAGAGAAAGCAAGTCTGCAGAGAGCTTGGTGTGAGATCCAGCTAAGCCAGATTATCTGAAGCATTGGAAGGTGGAATTGAAAGGACAGCAAACAGATTCAAAATGGAATAGAATTGCTACAATATTTATAGTGATCAGTTTGGATCAGAAATGATAGTGAAATCACCACATTTGGACTCCTTCAACAATACTATGTGAGAATAATAGGAGAGGGAGAGGGAAAGAGAGACAGAAAGAGGGGCAGGCAGAAGGAGAGAGAAAGACACAGTCAGACAGACAGACAGACAGGCAGGCAGAGGATGTCCACAGTGATTGACTGTGCCTGCTTCCTCATCTCTATGAAATCTTTAGGAAATGGTTTACCTATGCATTTAGGGTATTTTGATGAAAACATGACTTGAGTACAGGCAAAACTTTGCAAATGATTTCCTGTAGCATATCTCTTTACAATCACACACCAAACTCTGAGATGTAGAGATCATAAGACCCAAGGAGCAGCAAGATTACAATATGGAAAAATAAATCCAGACCTTGCTCTCCTCTGCTACAGTTTCAGTTATTGCATATTTCTGACCAAACAAGCAAACATTAATAGTCCAAGAACTACTACTCACAATCACTTTTTGGCATCAGCAAGTATCCTTGGAAGGTGTAGGTATCTTTACATATAGTTCATCCTCTACCAGACTATTGTATTACAGGGACACATCTGACATTTCTGGAGAAGTTCCATCCCTCAAGGATGAGTAGGCTAGAATTTCCCAGGATTCCATTTCCTATGAGATTGTGTATCTGCCCTGCAGGAAAATTGCATCATGAGGTGTAGACTCTTGCAGGGAGATTCCTACGGAGAATGAGATGGAGAAATGATCACAATGGTTACCCACTACAGGAAGGGCACAGTAGCACTGTGATCTCCTTTGCTTGCTACCAAGAACAAACTAATGAGAACTGAGAGAGAAAGAAAACTGCAAACTTTGGCTGAGATAGCAGAAAGTGGGACTGTATTGAATTGTCCTCACACCACAGGGACTGCCTATGACATCTTTTGATTCATTTCATTCAGTCATTCTAGTGGATAGATTAGAAGTTGACAAAGATGAATTATAGTCACTGTCTTTTGCCTCTTTTGTATTGCCAGAGCATAGTACAGTGCCTGGCACATAGTAGGCTCTTAATAAATGTTTACTGATGGATGATTGATTGATTGATTCTCTAGTGACTGTGAGATCATGGCCAAGCCACTTAACCTGTCTCTGCCTTTAATTTCTCCACGTACAAAATTGGAATAACATTAGCCCTTTCTTGATGTCTTTGGAAGATAGTAAGGTTAATTAATGCCAGAGCACTTGAAACTCTCTGGAAGGAAGGTACTATGTAAACCTTTAATATGCTTGTTATTTTTCAGTAGTTTAAGTCATGTCCAACTCTTCCTGACCCTATTTGGGGTTTTCTTACTGAAGATACTGGAGTGCTTTGCCATTTGCTTCTCTAGCTCCTTTTACAGATGAAGAAACTGAGGCAAACAGGGTTAAGTGACTTGCCCAAGGTCACACAGCTAGTAAGTGTCTGAGGCCAGATTTTAACTCACATAGATGAGCCTTCCTGAATCCAGGCCCAACACTATTTCCTCTGAGCCATCTAGCTGCCCCTTAATATGCTTGGTCTAGTATTTCATTGGTGTAGGGAACTGCCCAGTAAGGAAACTTCCCCTACCAATACAGATGATCAGCTTCTCTGCAACTTAGAGTCTTTGCACATTGCCTTGGACATTCAGAGGTCAAATCACTTGCCTAGGGTCATATAGTATATATCATAGGAAGGATTTGAACCCAGTTCTTCTTGATTCCCAGGTCAGCTTTCTATTCACTGTTACACAGACTCTATCATCATTACTACTGTTATTATTTCATTTTTACAATGCATATGAATCTGGTCTTAATCCCATACAATAGCAAGAGCCCTATTGGCCAAATATATTAAAATACCATGTTTTGGGGTGGGGGGTGGATTTTAAAGATTTAGGTGTTGTTTTGCAGGAAAAAATAAACATCTTTGACTTGGTTTTCCGTTTTGCTGTCATGACAGAAATACATTTGAGAGTAGGGCTCTAAAAGTCTTAATGCAGCTTTCAACTTTAATAAAAGACAATTGCACTAAGACTTTTGGGATACAGTTCAGCTTTATTGGATTAATGCTAATTTTGCAAAGTCTGCTGGGAGTTTACACAACTGTAAGCAGAAGTGTCCACCTGTTAAGAAACAAAGGAATGGGTTAGGTTTTTTTTTAAATGCTAACTAAAAATCGATTAACTTAATATATAAACAGAATGCTGATTCAACGAAAATTAGCTAACTTTCAAAGCAAAAATCATACTCTCTTATGTATGTTCTCATACCATTTCAAGCACCAGTCCAGTTGTAGGCAAAGTTGTTCAGATCTTCAACACATTAAAAAAAAGTTACCTATAGGGTACAGGTTTCTTTAAATGGTCAGGCTCAACACCTGCACCTAATGAATGGCATTTTCAAGATCTTTGGACTTAGTTTAAATCAACATAAGGAAAGAAAATCACCCCCTTCATCTTCATCCAACCTAATATAGGAAGAGCTCACTGTGTCCTGAATCGTAAAAAGGTCATGGATCCTTTGAAGTGAATGGAACCTCTAGGGGTCATCTTGTTTATCACCTGTCCTTCAATAAATTAAAAATGGGATAGAATGCAAACATTCAAGAAAGAAAGGTCACCTTCTTACTACCTCCTAGGCATCAGGAAAATCAGTTGATCATCTAAGCTAAAATTTTTACGAACAAAAGATTTGAGGACAAAAACATTGCCTGTGATTTGTATCTCCTGTTATAAAATAAATTTTTTCAATTTGGAAGACAAAAAAAAGCAAGAGCCCAACAATTCAGTTCAATTTAATAAGGTTTTTTAAGTGCCTACTATGTGTCAGGCACTGTGTTTGTGCTTAGAGATGCAAAGGCAAGAAGGAAACTGTCCCTGCCCTCAAGCAGTTTACATTCTGTTAGTATTTTTTTTTACACATTTATTACCTAATTTGGGCAGCTAGGTGGCGCAGTGGACAGAATACTGGACCTGGAGTCAGGAAGACGAGTTCAAATTGGACCTACACACTTACTAGCTGTGTGACCCTGGGCAAGTCACTTAACCCTATTTGCTTCAGTTTCCTTATCTGTAAAATGAGCTGGAAGGAAATAGCAAACCATTCTAGTATCTTTACCAAGAAAACTCCAAATGGGGTCATGAGGAGTGGGATACAACTGAAATGACTAAACAACATTTTAAAATTTATTTTGACTCTTTTTTAAAAGTCTTAACTGCTCAGCTCTTGTGCTTTTCTTGGGATGGGGGGTAGCAAGTCTTTATTATATATTAATTTTTATATGTGCTAAACATAATCTTCAAATGAAAATTCAAGGAAATTAAATTCAGAAGCACATGACTACTCTTCCTTCCCATTAACTTCTTTCAACCAAAAAATAAAAACAATGAAACCACAAACAGCTTTTCTTCTTACAGTTACTCAAAACAAAGAAGTCTTCCTGTGCTCTGAAAGACATTGAAATTCAGCTTGCTTTGGGAAATCCAGAGACAAGAACTAGGATTGGTCCAACAAATCATTTGTACAGTACAGGAGGTGAATTCCAGTCCATGATAAAGGAAAAACCTTTCTCTTAGGAAAATTAAAAAAAAAAAAGTCAGGACTCCCTTTCTATACTATTAATCTTAGAAGTGGCTTTGAAAAAAAAATCAAGATGGTAAAAACTAAATATAGCAAATAGTATTTTTAAAAATCCATTACATTCTATTAAGCTTTTCTTCCTGGAGTTCAAATAAATAAAGGAAACTCAGTGATATTCCATGTAAGGAGTGGGGAGAGGGAAGGTTGTTTACCATAGTACACCCCACCCTGTAAAAGTATCCTTTAGAGTTCCCAAAAAAGTTCATCTAAGGGACTACACATATCAATTAAGTATGAACAGCAGACCAAGAATCAATACAGTTTTTTAAGATTTAATTATCTTTCCAGTTAGAGATAATAGACTAGCTTATTTACAAATCATTCTGTAATGAAAGAAAACCCCTGTAATGAAAGGCAACCCCTGTTATCTAAACCAAGGAAATGTCTCAATATCCAATAGTTTTTAAAGAGGAGGGGAATCTTTCAAATAAATAAAAGGAGAAAACTATCCTGACATCCCTATAAGGTACAGTCAAATATCCCTTCCTTTTTGCTAACAAGACATTTTTTCTCAATCTTTTGAATCATACATATGTCAATGGAGTTGTACAAGCCTCTTCATAGTTTTAGAGTGGGTGGGTTTCTTTTTAAGTTCTTGCATTATTCTAATGCAGTTTGGGAAGAGAAAATATCTCAAACTCTTTTAGTTCACTAAATATTTCCCTAACCATTGATTACTTTCTCCCAGAATCTATGTATTTTAAGTAAACTTTCTGCTGTATGTTTATTGTGCTTAAGCACTGATTTCCAAGTATCCTTGCTAGGGAATACCTGATTTCCCAGAAACTTGCTAAAACTTCCACAACGAGCCTTTTTACTTTTGAAGGAAAAACACTATTTTGTCAGGTAATGATGAGAACCCAAAAAAAAAAACTCAGACCAGACAGAGAGTGAATAAGTACTCTAAGTTTGGGAAAATCCACAATGTTCTTCCAACTTAAAATGTTGGTCACACAGTGGTCCCACAAGAGAGATTATTTTATACTTCTTGTAGGAAACCCATATTTGACTATTCCTTTTGCAATATTTCCTTTTAAACTATTCCCTTTTTTTTGTTCTATCATTGACAAAAGGCTTTTTTTGGTCATTTTAACAGACTGAGTATTTTTCAAATCCTGGCATTAGGATTGCAATATGGAAAAGGCTGAATGTGGGACTTTGGAAGGAAATATCTTGCAGAGATAAAAGTTACTTGCTACCAATCAAGCTGACATTTTTTCCTGAAGAAAACATAATTAACATACCTTTTTTATGTAAATGTACAGACCTAGGTTTTGGTCTATCATGGGTTACTAAAGGAGGCTGTAAACTCTTCTTTGAAAGCTTTAAAAGCAGAATGATTTTGAGTTGTCAAGAATGTCCACTAATGTCCTATTCCCATGCTCCATCAGAGCACTGAGGCAACCCTGGCTTTTCAAGGCTATCTCCATGAAGTCCAAGCATTGATAAGCCCATGCCAGCCAAAGAGGCATTAAGCGTAGGCTACATGTCTATTGTTTGAGGACCAGCCTGACTGAATTTGAAAAGACTGATCACAAAGTTTGCCTTGTGCAGTGGTGTGCTGGAACCAGCTTGTGCAAACCCAGGAAAGCCTGTTCTTACATTTTCACTATGAGCATTTATGCCTTGGAAACCAGTGAAATGCTATAAATCGGGGCTTGGTTTATTGTTTCATTCATTGTCTAAAATTAAGAAACTGATAGAGAAAATCTTAATAATGCAGATTAAACTTAAAAATGTGTTGTGTGTGGTGGTATATATGTATACATATATATATATATATATATATATATACACACATACATACATACATATATGTACATGTGTATATATATTCCCCCAGAAAGCCAGTTGTCAAACATTTCCCAACATGGTCAAGAGGGTTTAGGTATAGCAGCTTTGAGAAATCACCTTACCAAGTCCTAGAAGGATTTTGATCAGTCCTTGAGGGAGGAGTATTCACCCTACCCAAATCATGAATCCTTGAAGTAGGGAATGGGAGACCTGGTCCTGTCTGAAGTAAGAGGTTTCTCAAGATGACTTTTTCATATTTCCTTCCACTGAGTGATTCTAGAGGGAAAGGAGGAAACTTTTCAGTGGGAAAGAGTTCTCACAGAAAATGTAATTCAGATGGAAAATAGTTGAATTCCTTTTTATTTTCCTTGATTAAGTGGATGGCTCCAAAAGCCATTCCAAAAAAAAAACAGACTAAGAAACACATTTTAACTAATAATCTCCATCTACCCTTATTGTATTCATCCAGAGAATCAGAGATTTAAAGTGGAAAGCACCTTCTCCTCTGATACATAGGAGGAAGCTGAAGGTTAGAGAAAAGAAGTAATTGACCAAGGACACAAAATGGCCTGGCTGGGCTTAGAGATGAAGAAACTGAGGCTTTTAAGAGTTAAATGAGTTTCCCAGGATCACAAAGCTACAATCAACTAGCAGAGGTAGCATGGTGGTGTGAATAGGGCACTAGACTTGAGTCAGGAAGACTTGGGTTCAAATTCCACCTCAGATAATTGCTAGCTTTGTGACCATGGGCAAGACCCTAACCTGTCTGTGCCTCAGTTTCCATATTTGGGGGTGGGTTGTACTTGTTGGCATATGGGGTCTTTACCAGCTCTAATTCTGTGACCCAAGATCTGAACAGAAGACAGATCAATGCAGCATTTAATCCAGTACCTGGCACATAGGTACTTAATAAGTGTGTATTGATTGACTAATCAAAGTCCAGTGCCCTTTCTTCTATAGTCCAAAAAGATGCTTTTTGTATAAGCAGAGAATGTCTTTGTCTTAGGGTCATTCTGCTATTCTCTGTCTTCAAAATGGAAGGGGTTTATTTGCTTCTGCTTATTAGGTTGGTTTTTATTTTGCTGCGAGCCCATGAAGGTGACACAGTATCTTATTTAGCAAGGAAGAGTTTCCTATATATTTAAACAATAACAACTAATTTTTTTCATTCCCAGACCTCCAATAAATCTCATTTGCCCATGGCTTTCAACTGTTCAGAACTCACCCAGGGCTTGGCAGGTGTGGCATTTGTACGGAGAGAGCTGAGCAAGGATACCTAATGAAGATAGAAAGAATCCCAAGTCCAGAACCACAGCCTAAAGTGAGGGAAAAGTACGAGGGAAGCCAAGAAGGGTCAGCCTGGGCCGGGGGCGGTGGGCAGCCTCTGGACTCTTGCTCAGTTTGCAGAAGGGAAGCGTTGGTGACTTTGGTTTGTCTTCCCACAAATACCACTGGAGTGAGTAGACTTTTTTCTGCTGAGGTGATGCAATGTTCTTAAACTAGCAAAAAAAAAAAAAAGAAAGAAAGAAAGAAAGGGGGGAAAAGGAAAAAGAAAAGAAAAAGAAAAAAAAGAAAAAAGAGGGAGGGGAAAAAATTGGAATAACCTCACTTTACACAACTCCCACTACTCTTTCCTGCTTCTCTCCTGCCCCCCACCACAGAAGATGGGGGGGGGAAAGGAGAGAGGAAAAAAGTTTGGCGACTGTTAAAGGAAACAAAAAAGTTCTCTTTTCCCCACAGCCTGGCCCATGATCAGCATCTCTTTTGTTAGAGGCCCGGCACAGCCTTCCCTACGTGACGTCATGGAGCCCCTGGACCAATCGGTGAGGTGCTGGCCCCGGCTAGGGAATCGGGCGGGTCCCACCTACCTCGGCTCGCCAGTGGCCTCGCGGGGGTCGGGAGTAGAGGGTCCCATATAAACCCCCGCGCGCCACGGCTCTGCGGCTCCAGCAGGCTGCAGGGTTCGAAGGGGTGGAGAGAGGAGCACTGCACTGGAGAGCAGAGGGACCTGTGGCAGCCCCATCTTCGATTTTTCTCCCCGGTCCCTTTTCCCTCCCCTTCCCCACCCTTAGTTCCCTACCTTCCCGGAGAAGTTCGGAGCAAGCCAGCGCTCCATGCAACTTGTTCTCCCGCGGGTTGCAAAGTAAACCAGAAACTTAGGGTGGGGTGCGGTTTGTAGGAGTCTCTCTCACTCCCGCTTTGCAAGATGCACAGGGACCCAGTCCCGGGACGGCGGCTGCTGCTGCTGCTGCTACTTGCGCTATGTATGGGAACATCAGCGCAAGCGGCAAAATCGACGAAAAACCGGAGACAAGCCCAGCAAATGATTCAGCCTCCGTCCCCGGTGGCTGTCAGCCAAAGCAAAAGTGAGTAACTTACTCGGAGAAAAGGCTTTCTCCCAGGATGAGACAAGTCCGCTCAAAGTTGCTGGAGGAAACTTTTCTGGGTCGGTTAATGGATTTCTTAAAGCACCCAACCGCAGGGACAAAGGCATTTCAGGGATTTCAGCGCCTGCTGCTCTAATCCTGGGCTCCTTTACTAAATGATCTAAGAATTCACTGGGGATGGGTGTATGGGGGCGGGGGGAGAGGCGTATTTCATTGGAAAGCCTTTCAGTTCTATAGATCAGATGCTTTTCCATCCAGTACTTTGGTGGATAAATCTGAGCAATGGGCGTTTTCTTGGGATGTCCATTCAGGATTTGGTTGGCCCTTTGTGGACCCTTTGCATTCTCTTCCTTTCCGTACGTTTAACTGCTGAAATGTTTTCAAGATGAAAGGGGGATAGATAGGGAAGGTGGGGAGCGAATGCCTGCAAAAGACTGTTCTTTGGTCAACTCTGAAACTTGGGCATTTGGTTCAAATTGCCTTCAGCCCCTGGAGATACTTCACCGTGTAAGGAAGATGGAATTTCTTTTCCAGCTTTGAGAGTGAACAGTTTTTCGATGGTCTAATGGAAACCACTAAAACTTGCTGAGTGGGACATGTTTCTGTCATTAATCACTGCTCCATTTACCTCCACAATAGCAATGTGGCTTAAGGGAACTTTTCTTTTTTTTTTTCTTTTTAGTCAAGCCTCCTACTGTCTGTTTTTTAGAAACGTTTTCACTTGTGGCCAGTTGGAAATCATTTCACCAAGTAACGTTTAGTTCAGTAACAACAACCAAAACCCACTCTTACTTCCTATACTCCCTAAAATATTGATTTCTGCTGGCTCTAAAGATTACTAGACAACTTCTTAAATTCAGTGCTTTTGGATCGGCTAGTTCTCTCTCTCTGTCTCTGTCTCTCTGTCTCTCTCTCTCTCTCTCTCTCTCTCTCTCTCTCTCTCTCTCTCTCTCTCTCTCTCTCTCTCTCTCTCTCTCCTTTCCTGATGCTCTCAAGGCTCGAGCTCACTTCTATTCACTTCTCATCTTTGTTAATTTCGTTTCTTATTAACCCTATTTAGTTTCTTCATTTCATTATTGTCACTTGAGCTGAGTAGAAAAGTTTCCCTTTCCAGACACGAAATGGAAAGTCAATAAATAATAGATAATACTTTTTCCCCCCTATGCATTCATTGCAGCTGGCTGTTATGACAATGGAAAACACTACCAAATCAACCAACAATGGGAGCGAATTTACTTGGGCAATGCACTGGTTTGTACCTGCTATGGAGGCAGCCGAGGTTTTAACTGTGAGAGCAAACCTGAACGTAAGTGAGATAGTTATTCTCTTTTTGTTAGATGGAGAAGTACTGATCATCAATTAACTAACTAATTAAAATTCTAGGAGATTTTCCTGAGTTCAGAGCTTTTTAGTGTTATAATTTATAATTTTAAAATCTAAAAATAATTAGTAATAATTATCTTTATCCACTCATCTTTGTCTCAGAGGTAACATCTAAAGTCAAAGTAGTTTTTACTTTTAAAAAGAATAGAATGAATTGCTTCCTAAGCCTCCTCCTATTCCCTTTTTTAATAAAAAATATACTTATTATTTGCTCACAAGAGAAAATGGGTAGTTATTACTGAAAAGTGATAGGAGACTTTAAATATGTAAAGAATAGGGGCTGGACCTTCGAATTCATTGGGACCTACTGGCTAAGTCCCTCAACTAACCAGGTTGGCACTTTCTCTGCAACTTATAGTCTTCAAGTCTTAAATGTTTAAACTGCATAGAAGTAATTTTTGTGGACTAGAAACAATACTAGGAGGATCAAATAGCCTTACATTTCAAAAGTGATTTGTCAATTATAGCTTTAAATATGACCCCTAACCTCTTAAGATAAACTTTGCCCCTTTGTTACCACTGATATTTTTCTCTTTAAGACTGTTAAAACTCACCAAAAAGAAGCATTAGTGGGATTATCATGGAAATACTATTGAATAATAAGTTTGTTTGCCCAGTGGGGGAAGGGGTGGGGTGTCAATTAACTGTAGACTTGTGTATAGCACTCCTGTTTGGCTTCCTGAGTCAGGCATCTATATCTCAAACCTCTTCCCTAATAGCATAGAGTGTGTCAAAAGCACAATGCCTTATATGGCACCTATTCTTTATAATGATAATCAGGTCACAAAAAAAGCTTGAGGACCTTTCCAAGGCCATAGAGGCACTATCTGAACCAAGAGGAGAATATGAATCTCCTTAATCCATGTCCTTCACTTTTTTTCATCTACTCTGCCATGTTCTCCTATAGAATGGGAAATGGGTTTTTGTACAGATGGGATTCTAGGAATGTAAAGTTCTTTCTATAATCTTCCCTTTCAGCTGAAGAGACATGCTTCGACAAATATACTGGGAACACTTACCGGGTCGGGGACACTTATGAGCGCCCAAAGGATTCAATGATTTGGGATTGTACCTGCATTGGGGCTGGTCGAGGGAGAATCAGCTGTACCATTGCAAGTAAGGAAGACTTCCTTATGACTGCTTTTCTTCCTAACACCCAATGAATGCCCTCTGGAAAAGGTTACTTAGTTCAGACAAAGTGTGGCCTTCCCTACAAATGTGAACTCAGTTCCAATCACAGACAACTTTCTACTATTGGTAAAGTGCATGATCCATTTTGTGGATACCCATGAGCATCCTGGGCAACTTTTATGAAGCTGCCTAGCCAGATATGAGCTTCTGAACACAAAATGGAATGTATGTTGGAGTGTGTGTGTGTGTGTGTGTGTGTGTGTGTGTGTGTGTGTGCACGTGAGCATGTCTATACATGTGTCTGTGTCTCTGGTTCCATTTCAGAATATAAATTAATTGAGGAATTATTGGTGCCTATTCTTTACTTAAAACACATGAGCCAGTTCTATCAACATGGCATAGATTTAAGAGAAAAAGTGTATATTTGGTAGCTTTATATGTGACAGGTTAACCTGATCATAAGTGTGATTGATCCATACATTCTGTCCTTTTTCACAATACAAATTGATGATGATCCTCAGAAGCTGTTAAATTTGGGTGGGGCAAATAGTTTCATTCATATGTGCTTTCTGTTTTCATTACTACAGCTCATGGATACACTCTAATTTCTTACTGTTTAATACATTACTCTGCAAATAGAACTTTTCTGTATTTCCAAAAGGAAAATATAATCAAATGCCCCAAAGTGTCTAACAGTGAGGGTGCTTTGAAGACTGCTACTTCTCATTAGTTCTAATAGGGACAAGGAATTCATTTTAGTTTGATCTGCATCTTATCAGTTGATTCAATTAGAAGGGTCTATGTGTGTGTGTGTGTGTGTGTGTACATACATACATACATACACACACACAATGTCTTTATCAACTTAAAAGTCTGAGACACCATACTCAGGCATTCGTTTATGGTTAGTCCAGACCAGCTTTCTTAATACTTCAGTTTGGAGATATTCAAATTTAAGGGCTTAAGATTTTCTCTAAAATTTCTCCACCCCCTCTTCTCTCTATCTCTGTCTCTCAAGGATATTTCATGTTTACTATAGTTTCTTGATTTAGGATAATCCATTTAGACATATATTCCATCAGTGTCATCTAGTCTAACACCCTCATTTTGTAGTTAAGGCACCTGAGCCTCAAAGGAATTAAGTGACTTGACCAAGGTAACAGTCTGTAAGTTTAAGAGCCAGGATTTGAACACAGGTCTCCAGACTCCAAATACAGTGCTCTTTCCATTGCATATGTGAGTCTAATGTTTTTGGGAAAGTAAGAATCAGTGACACTCTTAGTTTTACCTTTGTGATGCTTTCCCCAGAGTTGTAATTCTACTCCCAAATTTGTTGAACTAGATAAACACAAAAATAACTCCCTAGTGTTGCTTCTGCCCACTCTGGAAAGGAGGAGTAATATGTATGAAGTGATGACTACATCAGAATTAGAGTTAGGGTCAATCCAGCTGTATTACAGCTGTTTGTGGGAGGGAGGTGGAACATTTACCCCATCCTCTTCATTCTTTTTTTTTTTTACTTCAGTCTGGTCTTAGAAATTAGATTTTCTTTGAGCTTCCAAGGAAGGCAAAATCTGAGATATTTTGTGATTCA